CATGGCTACACCACCCAAACTGCACATCCCTGGACACTGGACAACTTAGCATGGCCAATCCACCTAACCTGCACGTCTTTAGACTGTGGGAGGAAACCACCCGGAGGAAACCCGCACAGGCTCGGGGAGAATGTGCAAACTCCACACAGACAGTCACCCGAGGGTGGAATTGAATCTGGGTTTCTGCTGCTGTGAGGCAGCAGTGCTAACCACTGAGCCACCGTGCCACCATAGACCCACCATCTGAGCCATTAGCTCTGCCTCAATTAGACTGAGGGCATCTGGGCAAACCTGTGACATGTTGAAATCCACATTACAAGTTAATGTAAATGTTTCGAACATCTCACGAGCAAACTGTGGGCTGTTGCCAGAAACAATGACATCCGGAATACCGTGATTGGCAGTCATCTCCCATAGATCTCACAACAGTGGTGACTGGTGTCAGTTTCTTAACCTCAAACTATCTTGAATAGCATTCAACTATGATGAGGTAAGAAGGACATTCATACATGAACAAGTCCATACCCATACCGGCCAATCAGAAACTTCCTCTAACTGTTTCGAGATCCCTGGCCACCATGCAGCACCACGAGCTCTTGCTCTGCATTGGGTTGTGCCTAAGTGTCTTTGATGAATCCTCTGAAAAATATCACTCTGCAATGAATGGAGAATTACCAGTAAATCATTCACAATCACTGTTCTGTTGGTTTACCCAGAACAGGGTTCTGTTCAGAGATGTTTCCTCCTTTGCAGTTATCCATGTCTGTGGCTTTTCTGGTTGATAGCTGGTCTTAAAACAACTTCTTTGAAAAACACATGTTTTGGATTCTTTTTGTCTCCAGATAATCCAAGGTCTGTTTGTTTGATCTTCACTGCTGCTACTATTTTCTAAGCAGTGAATCCTGAAGTTGATGTACTTTTATCACATGTTTCGATGCCACACTATGAGATAGGGTTCAAGGCAGAGCGATCAAGGAGAAGGCAAAGTCAAGAACTGTTTCCAGGCTTGCACTTCAAACTGGCACTATTTATTACAATTGTTACACTAGATAAAGGCTAATCTATCTTCTTTGTGTATTCATGTCTATATATTGTAAATCTTTCTCACCTGTTCTAACGTACCCCATACGGTGCTATTTATGCTCTTTCCTGTGCAGCTCTATACATCATCACAAGATTGCTCCAGGGTCCTGAATCCCTAACACAGTATTATTCTTTTCACTGTCAATTACATGGCCAATTTTTGTGTCACCTGCAAATTTCCCAAACATGTTTCCTACAGATAAATCCAACTAATAATATAGATTTAAAAAAAAAAAGCAAGAGGACTGACACTGAGTACTGTGGAATACCAGTGAATACTTATTTCAATTCATAAAAGAATCCAAAGGCTATCATCCTTTGATACCTGTCACTGCGGCACTTTCGGATCTAAATTGACGTATTGCTCTGTATTCCACAGGATTTCATTTTTCTGACCAATCTGCCATGTGGGAGCTTGTCAAAGGCCTTGCCAAAATCCATGTAAGCAACATCTAACACATCACCCTCATCAATTCTCGTTGTTACTTCTACAAAAAATTCAATTGAGTTATAAAGACATGACCTGCCCAAAGATGTCAGTTCCTTCAGTGCTTCTGTTTAGATTATGCTTATTGTGTTTGATAATTCAGACATAGATGAATACATACTAAATCAAATGTAATCATGGACTTTGCCTCCTTGAGTAACACTCTCTGAGAGCAGAACATCCTAAATAGGAACTCACAGTAACACATTGTGACAGCTGCTTTTCCCACTCTGTGAATGTGCTATTGGCAGAAACTCTTGCTGACTTTCCATACATACAGAGACTCATAGACTTGCTGCTATAAGTTTCTATCCATTAATTTTAACAGATTGAGTCCTCTGCCACTAACATCTTAAGGGCTAACATCAGCTCTCAACCCTTCTCCTCTTTCCCAGAATCACTATAGTGTTCACGTTGTCCTTACCCTCCATCTCGCCAGCCTTCGTATTCAATCGATTATAAACTGCAAATCACCTCAAATCATTAACTACAAAACATGGTAACAGCACCAAAAATAACTCTCCATCCTCTCCCCTTTCAGCATTCTGAAGACCCGTCTGTGCATGACAGCTCTTCAATCAATCCTAACACCTTCTCCCCTCCCTATGGCACCTTTGTCAGCACATGAAATGCAAAACCTGCCACTTTTACATCTCACCTCACTATCCAATGCTGAAAATGTTTCTTCCTGGTGAAACATGTTTCTTTGTTTAGTTTCGCGTACCATATTTGCTGCTCACAATGCAGACTGCGCTACATTGGGAGGACCAAACACAGATTGGGTGGCCACTTTGGGGTGTACCACTACTGAGTTATGAAAAATGACCTAAAGCCTCCAATGCCATGCCTTAGTAATTCTCCACCTTGATTTCACACAAGCCTCCCTGTCTTTCACCTCTGGCAGGAATGAAGTTTTACTCTAGATCGAGGAACAACTCCTCATGTTTTGATTAGGCCCTTGCAGTCTTCCAGACTCAACGTTGAGTTCAACAATTTCACCTTGTAACCTCGGTCCTCATTTTGTTTTATTTGTTTTGCGTGTTTCAGTCTGAATTGTGCTTTCCTCTTGATTTTGATTTTGGCAGTTATTTATCAGGCTGCCATTCGCACCTCCTCGAGACAGATCTTTTTTTTCTCTACTTGTCTCATTGCTGTTCTGTCTAACTCTGCAGCACTACCCTTTCTCTTATTTGTATTTCCAGTCTTCCATTCTACCATAGAACTTCCATTTTGTTTTCTCTCCACTGTCCTCCATTTCACTTGCATGGAAACAATTACATTTCTAACTTTCCCCGATCTCAGTGGAAAGCTATCGACCTGAAACATTAACTCGGTTTCTCTGCCCACAGATGTTGCCTGACCTGTTGAGTTTATCAAGCGTTTCCTGTCTCATTCAGATTACCAGCATCCACAGTGAGTTTGCTTTGATGTGATCTTGTCTTAACTTCTCATGGGAAAGTTAGTAGCTCTGATAACCTGCCTAATTTCTTTGAGACGCTGAATGATCTGGAGTTGATTTTCTGTTTTCACTTCAATGTTCAATGTTTTCAATTTATCGGCCTTTTATCAAGCATCTTCTGGGCATGACTTTGGTCTTGCCTCAGAATACAAACTTATTGAAATTATTCACAAAATGGAGAATGGATGAATGATAGTAGCAGGGATGGCAGACTTTTGAAAACCTTTTTTGTGGAAAGGCATGTATCCAATTCACAAGCAGCCAGGTTTTAGAAAGTTCTGCCTAACATTTTAAAGTGGCTGGAACAGGTAATGGGCAGAGATTAATGTATACACTTGGAATAGTGTCTATCTTAGATTTGGCTCTTTTAAATTATCATCCCCCTATTGAGCATTTATGTCCGTGAGAGTGAATTCTTGTTCTAAACATGAATTCAGTTTATAATTTCTAGAAATTGAAATAACCAGTGTCTTTACAAAGGATCTAGGCCCAAAACGTCAGCCTTCCTGCTCCGATGATGCTGCTTGGCCTGCTGTGTTCATCCAGCTCTACACCTTGTTATCTCTCTTTACAAATGAGGAGTCTTTATAGAGGATTAAACTCAACTGTCCAGATCTCTGCTATTGATTCTTGTAAGCACAGTTGAAAACTGGAGACATGTTGATAAGGAAGAATATGGGCAGCGCAGTGGCTCAGTGGTTAGCACTGCTGCCTCACAGCACCAGGGACCTGGGTTTGATTCCAACCTTGGGTGACTGCGTGTGTGGAGTTTGTACATTCTCCCTGTGTCTGCGTGGGTTTCCTCCCACAGTCCAAAGATGTGCAGGGTAGGTGAATTGGCCATGCTAAATTGCCCGTAGTGTTCGGGGATGTTTAGATTGATACGTTATAGGGGGATGAGTCTGGGTGAGATGTTCTGAGGGCTGGTGTGGACTTGTTGGGCCGAATGACCTGTTTCCACACGGTAGGGATTCTATGATAGATTATTTCTCCCCATCACTTTTCCCTCTCATGCTGTTTAACTTTTAAGCAGTTTGAGGTGCTGTCCTCCTCGTGTCCCATTCTTACTCTCCTTAATCTTTTACACACTGCTTTAATCTCCTCCATGCCTCTCTTCCTCACTGATGTTGTGTTACCAGCACAAGACTTGATATCTTTTGTTCTGGCTTTCCTTCTTTTGTTATATGTATCTCTCACTATTGCTCACTCTTCATCTTCTATTATTGCTCTTCCCCTCTTTTCCATGACCTCTCTCTTTGTCTCTGTCACCAGCCTGTGTGATAACAGTCCCTTCATATATTTTTTTTTATTCATTTATGGGATTAGGAAGTCACTGTCTAAGCCAGCATTTATTACCCATTTCGAACAGCCCAGAGAGCAGTTGAGAGTCAACCACATTCCCATGGGGTCTGGAATCATGTGTAGGCCAGGACAGGTGCAAATGGCAGTTTCCTTCCCTGAAGAACATTAGTGAACCAGCTGGGTTTTTCCAACAATCAGTCATCTTTATAGATCATAGGTCATAGAATTCCTACAGTGTGGAAACAGGCCCTTCAGCCCAACAAGTCCACACCGACCCTCAGAGTATCCCACCCAAACCCATCCCCCTATAACCGACCTAATCTACACACCCCTGAACACTATAGGCAATTTAGCATGGCCAATCCACCTAGCCTGCACATCTTTGGGCTGTGGGAGGAAACCAGAGCACCAGCTAGATTTTTCTTTATACTGAATTCAAATTCCACCATCTGCCATGGCAGGATTCAAACCCGGGTCCCCAAAATATTACCTGGATCTCTGGATTAACAGCCCACCGATAATACCACCAGGCCATTGCCTCCCCTGTAGCTTTGACTATGACTTCCCTCTCTCACTTAAGACATCAATCCCCTGAACAGATCTCAAACAGAGCTTTGGAAAGGCCAAGTCAGTAAACGATCAAATCAAATTTGATTATTTCGGATCCACTTTATTGCTCTAACAGAACGAGCGGCACCACATTGCTGGAAAAGAAATACATACAAGTTGCAGCAAAATTACACACATTCATGCTTTTTTTTTAAATTTTTCTTGTGCATGAAAGAAATGTAACCCCCAAGAAACAAAGAAAATAAACAACACCAGCTTATGTACAGTGCTAAATCAGTTCCTAGCGACATGTCATCGTCTGACGTTAGCAGGAGGTGAAGGTTTTCCAGAAGAAGTTTTTGCAGGATGTCTTCCGCTCTCGTTGTGGTAACTGACTGAAGCGGGACCTGTCTTCCACTTTCATCTCTTCCATGTCCTCCTGATCTGGGAACGTGTTCTCAATCCCCATTTGATTGCTGCTGGAGTCAAGCAGTGCAGATAACAGCTTGAGAACAACCTCTTTCCTTTCTTTATTCAGCTCCTGTTAAAGACAAACACGAAACTCATTCACAAAAACCGAAAGAACTGTGGAAGTTGTAAATCGGAAACAAGAACAGGAATTGCTGGAAAAGGTCTGGTATTATCTATGGTAAGAAATCAGAGTAAACGTTTCAGGTCCAGTGATGCTTCCTCAGAACTATTCGTGTTTGCCGCTCTGTGAAAACCTGTGCCAAATTGCACTCTGAAGGATTGAGCCCATTTATTTGGCTGAGGTGGAGGTTTTATTTTGTACACGTGATGGGTGGCCTGCCATGTGTAAAAGAGTAATTTTTTTTCCCCAACCTGAGCCTTTGTACACATACCGGTTAAAGAAATAACTTGCAATTATGTTGCATCTTTGCTCTTCTAGAGCACTTTAATCGCAATTAAGAATTTTTTTTCAGAAATGCAGCAATCAAATTACACTCAGGAAGGGCCGAGTAACAGTAATGTTGATTGAGAGGCAAATATTGGTCAGGAAACACACGGGATAGTTTACTGTTCTGAGGAAGGGTCACTGGACTTGAAACGTTAACTCTGCTTCTCTCTCTCTTAGACACTGCCAGACCTGCTGAGATTCTCCAGCAATTTCTGACTTGATGTGGGATAGTCTACATTCATCTGGCAGGGCCTCTGTTTGACATCTTGTCTTGGAAAAGATGCCTCAAACAAGACAGCACATCCTCACAGTCACTTTTTGGCCTAAATTATGTGGTCAGCTCTGTGGAATGGGATTGAATACTCTGACTCAGACATGACAGTGCTGAGTGTCACATTGTTTTTCTGTTCCCGTTACCCCAATCCCCCGTCCCACTCCTGCACAAGACGCGGCATCTCTTGCTGGTTGAATAGTTTACTCAGTACATGCTATCTTCTAAAACATCAGCTGAGTGTTTCAGTCCAGAGAGTGAGAGTCAGCAGACTCTTTATTCACGGAGACTTCTCTACAAGTGTTGCAGAATGATAACCAGGATTTTTTTTTCCTTCATTCATTCATGGGATGAGGGCGTCAATGGCCAGGCAGCATTTATTGCTCATCCCTAATTGCCCAGAGGGCAGTTAAGAATCAAACACATTGCTGTGGGTCTGGATTCAGACAGGCCATGCAAGCCAGATGGAGTACACGCAGCAGTTTCCTTCCCTAAAGGACATTAGTGAACCAGATTTGTTTGATTCATGGTCATCTTAATTCCAGATATTTATTGATTTCAAATTTCACCATCTGCCATAGCAGGATTCAAACCTGGGTCCCCAGAACATTATCTGGGTCAACAATCCAGCAATAATACCAACAGGCCATCGCCTCCCCATGTTACCCAGCCCTTAATCTGATGGGTTCAACCGACTGTAACATCAAAGCCACTTCTCCAACTAAGATTAACCAATCCAGCAGAGCCCAAGGAATGATCTGGAACATTCAGATTAGCTCATTTACTGGTAGGAAAAATCCAGGAATGGGACTTATTGGATAGGTATTTCTAAAACCCATTGCAGGCACAATGGGCTGAATGGCCTCCTCTGCTGTAAGATTCTACGATAACCATGAATAAGTGCCTTTTCTAAATAAAATAACTGGCTACACTTAAAGCTTTCACAGAGCAGCATTTAAAATACTGTCAGATTTATGTTGCTGATGTAATGACTGCATTTGTGATTGTATTTTTATAATCTGCGGAGATACTTCACCACAGGCACTCAGCGTAATTTTCTGCAGAGGCAGGATACAAGTATAAAAGGTGCCAACACGTACAACAAAGTAAAGCTGCACGCAGGATATTAAAGATGAACCATTATTACCTTCCATGTAAAGTCGTATAGCACTCAGCTTAAACAAAGCCTTCCGCCATTTCAATATTTTAATAAAATAATACACAGGCTGTTGGAGAGAATTTCTTCTGTCTTCCTGCACTCGCTATTTAATGTTTCCTTCAGTTACCTAGTTGATTGGAGCCTGGAAGTTAGCTGAATAACAGCTCAGTAAAATATGAACAATCCCAGCACTTTCTTATAGAGCAACAGAATCAAGGTATTGAGGGCTAAAAAGAGCTGATGGCCACATATCACATAAATCAATCATCAGACACTCCTTCTGCTGTGGTCCTGAGCCACACAGTCTCGGAATGCTTTTAGCTGACCTCAAACAAAACAGTCCAGCTGCAAATGACCAGAGGGTGTCTATTAATATTTTACATTCCACTAAAAAATTAATGCTTGTGAACTCCAGGCGAAAATAAGATAACGTTCAATTGGTAATTATTCCCCTCTCTAGACCTATACTTACATGATCAGATATTCATAGTCCAGCCTCACACTCAAGTGGGTTATTAGGAAGTTCCCACATTTTGCCATTGGTCATCACCTTAAGGAACAGAGAGGGGAAAACACAGAACCCCCACTGTGTGGAAGCAAGCCATTCGGCCCATTGACCCCACAATGGCCCTCCGAAGAGCAACCCACCCAGACCCAACCCCTACCTTATTCCTGTAATCCTGCATATCTCATGGCTAATCCACCTAACCTACACATCACTGGACACTGTGGGCAATTTAGCAAGGCCAATCCACATCTTTGAATGTGGGAGGAAACTGGAGCACCAGGAGGAAACCCAAGCAGACACGGGGAGAATATGCAAACTCCACACTGACAGTCGCTCAACGGTGAAATCAAACCCAGGCCCCATGGCATTGTGAGGCAGCAGTGTTAACCACTGACCCACCGTGCTGCCCCTCTAACCACTGCCAGAGAAAACTTGGAGCAAGGCCAATTTGCAACAAAAGACAGTCACATGCCGAAACTGTAAAATTCTGCATATTATAACAAACCAAGGAATGACTGAGTTTTAGTCTGAAAGGGGGATTGTTCAGTGGTATCTATGAAACATTTAGCCTTTAGCCCAGTGGAATATAATCTCAGCAACGTTATTTACTGGTCATTTGAGGTTTTAGGGACAGATTTTTCCTATCCTTTCTTGAGACGGAGCCAGGCCCAGCTGAGGGTGCCATGCTGAAGGCTGTAAGCCAGTGTTGGTAATGTTGGTAGAACCTCTAGAAACAAGCTGCTTACAGGCAAGGGATGCAGGAGAGCATCTGCATTTCCTTTAAGCACACAAGGAAGATGGGAGGAAACTACCTCATGTCCCCTCTTGCCTAGTCAGATTGCCAACCAGGCAGGACACCTCAGTACCACAAAGCAAAGAGAAATAAGCCGGAGTCCTGCCCTTGGGTGGATAATCACCACCACTATTTATTCCTTCTGCACATTAATGTCGGTCTTAAGTCTTATTTAGTGGCAAATATCTTGAGGTGGAATAACTGGGGAGAAAGATTTTTTAAGGTCACAAAGATCATGCATCTTTGCTTCCCTCTACTCTCTGTAGAAACAATGTGATTCGTCCACTTGCCTCATTTATCTGTTTCTCCAGTGCAGCACATTCCCCTTTAGCAAGGAATCTGATTGGCCAGCAACTTATGACAGATGCAAGAGATAGTCAGAACTGCCGATGCTGGAGAATCTGAGATAACAAGGTGTAGAGCTGGATGAACACGGCAGGCCAAGCAGCATCAGAGGAGCAGGAAGGCTGACGTTTCAGGTCGAGACCCCTGCTCCCCTGATGCTGCTTGGCCTGCTGTGTTCATCCAGCTCTACACCTTGTTATCTATGACAGACGCAAAGTCACTTCTGGAGTGGAGTCAGTCCCAGTCACAGTCCCCACTCTGCCTCTTAATTCCCTTACCCCACATCCCACGCACCACTGCCCACCACCGCACCCCCCACCCCCAGCCCTCACCGAAACTCCCTTGCTGTTTCCTGCCCCTCGTACAGAAAATAGGTTTGTACGAGATGGGAAATTTCCTGCTGCCAAAATCCTAGAGTTAGAGTGAAGTTGAGCTCATTACCTGACATTACAGTGCTTCAAGATATGCTCAACCTCCAAAAATGATACCCAATATTCCAATGGATTTAATAACTCCATCTTGTAAAATATTAAATTAATGGCCTAACAAGCATGTTTTAAAACGACAGGATAATCAGCTTTTCAATCTTGTTAGCTTCTGCTAAACAAAAGGCTCAGCCAATGCTTTTCAGAGACTCACATACCGACCCACCTTAGCAGCAATTGGACACTCAGAGAGATGACAGGAATGACTGGAGTGAAAAAGGAAATCTTTACTCTCGTGCCTGTTTTGACCGAGGGGACTGAAGTTAAAGGTATATTGTTGGGACAGCACAGAAGGAGCTGTATCTGTGACAGACCTGACCTGTGAGAGGACATTGCTCCCTTAAAATGAGAACACTATTAATTTTTGGTCATTTTGATAGACACAAAGGTTCATCAAAAGCAAGTCTGATTGATGAGCCTTTGAACTGATGCACAGAATCTGTAAATATGTCACCCAAAGCTGGAGCAAATGGTTCTATGAAGGCTCACTCTTCCACTCATCTTGAGATATAAGATGAAAACAGGTGACTGTGTGGACCTAGCTATGCTGACCATTGATAATATAAATGGAAATCAGCATGTAATAAGCATAATATATTTAATAAAGACTGATCTCAACAGCAGAACTGTCCCTTATCTTTAAATCTCTCCTTAGCCATGTATCCAATACAAAGTTGTAACATCTGCCAGGGACTGTTCCCTTCAACTCAGCAACAGGGAGAGTCCTGCACTTGGTTTCCTTGCTCCTTTATAATTAAATAGAAATGCATACGACAATGCGATCGATTTATTAGGACAGGAGCACCTGTTAGAGATAACAGCAAAGGGAAAATTAATGTGGAATACACACTATAAAAACTAGAACCTGTACTTGGAAGTCCAGACTTGCATTCACATTGTTGTATTATTAACATTTTAACAGCTCTGCTGAGCCAGAGGAGAGTCAGATATGAGTGCATGAAACGTTCGTACAATTACAACACTGACAGTAATTTGTAGTTTGGGAATCACTTTTAGCTACACGGCACTGAGAACTGAACAATAAGGGGAATGGTGTGGCATCAATGAGCAGAGCTGGTGAGTAAGCTGCCGTGACACTAACAGTGACTGAAGTGACTTAGTCTCATAACAAGGGGCAGTCTTTGCAGAGATTGTGCACCAGGGAGGTCAGACCATATAGTTTGCACTGTTATTGCTTGTCAGAGCCAAGTCTCTCTGCTTATTAGTTCTCCATCTGCCTTTCAGGTTTTTTTTTGTCTCTGTCACTCACTCTCCTACTTACTGTGAAGCCTTACTACTTTTCAAAAGATATTCTGTGTGAGGGAATGAAAGGGTTATTTTCACTTACTCCCAGCTTATCTGTTCAATTTGCTCTTTCTGTCTTCTGATCTCTTTCACTCTCATTCTTTTCCCACTTCTATAGAGACGCAGGTTTAAGTCGAATTCTGAGAAACTGCTCATGTGAACATGGTATTTGCACTATTAAGAGATAACAAGGTGTAGAGCTGGATGAACACAGCAGGTCAAGCAGCATCAGAGGAGCAGCAAAGCTGACGTTTCGGGCCTAGACATTTGCACTATTAATTCTGGTTGTCTTATTCCAGAGCCTGGCTTGTGCGCTGAAGTTTTTGAGGGTTTACAAACTTACCACGGCGATAACTATTGGGGAATAAAACACAAGAGACTCGTCATGCAAATCAGTCTCTGACATCCAAACAAAACTAGCTCCTGTGTAAAAGCAGTTTTTGATTCCCCTACACTGCGCTTCTGCCCCTTGTTCACCATCTCACTCTGTCATTCTCAGTTTCTGATGTGCATCCTTACCCGCAGTTTTGTCTTTCTCTCTTTAACATTTGTCAATTAATTTTTACTATTTCCACTACTTCCTCTCTCGTCTTCTATTTTTTTCTATTGTCCCTTTCTATTCGTTTTTTGTTTTTTTTCTGTCTCATGCACTTGTTCCCTCCCATTTTAACATGCCCACTCTCTTACTGCACTCTTCCATTTACCTGTTATTTTCTCGTACTCTCATTTTAGCCCCATTCTCTCTCACTATTACTTTCAGCTCCTCTCAATCTGATTCACTCGCTGGTTTCCTCTTCTGAAGGATTAATTCTTTCTGCATAAGGGGTTAAAAATATTATTTCACTGCTCTGTAATAAAATCATGTACTATTCACATTTTTTATCTCCAATCAACACCCCCGATGTATGTCATTTGTTTGTCTACGAATTTCACTTTCTATAATTGCCAACTAAATTCATCTACCTCTCTCCCACACTGATTCTTACTCCTTGATTCCTTTAAGGTTCTTACTTATTCTCTCCACTGATTTATCTTTTGGTCACGTACTGCTCCCACATTTTAAGACTTTACTCACCTGATTTGCCCGAAGACTCAGTCTGTCTTCCAAAGGTGCTGTGGCCTTCACACTGGACACAATGAGCAGTATAGACACAAAGCTCGCTGACCCCAGTAGCTGCATGCTGCCTCTTCTCTCAGTCGCTTGGAATTGGATTGAAGTGGTGCCTTTTCGAGATCTTTGCAATGTGCCTCGACCCTTGAAGTCTCTGTGTGGTTTTGACAGTCTCCAACCCCCTTTTATAACCCAGTACAGCCCCACTCACTGACGCACAGACCAAAGCTTCATTAAACATTAAGACTCCATCAAAGACACACAATTACACCCAGTCCAAGATTAACCATTCACTGACCAGATTTAGTTTAGAACCAGGTCATCCAATCAGATATGTTGAAATAGTGCAATTCTCTGCCTGCAGAAGCACTGAGGAGGAAGTCTTCAATTCAAAATTAAATTCAATGTTGAATTTCTGTCTGCAGTTTTAAGGCAGGATCCTTTTCTTCGGGAAAAACGTTAAAATGTTCAGGGAGTGATGGTCATTTCTCCGTGAGAATTTTTCTTTGTGCTAAGGATTTTTGAAAGATTGAGCAAATGTAAATGACTGTCACTATATCTAATAAGGTCTTTAAAATATGATCAAAAGATCTTCCTCATGACATTTGTGGGATATTATTTGATGACTGAATTTTTTAAAACATGCTAAATCTGATGGTATATTTGTGTCAAAAACTGATTTCCAGTGAATTGGATTGTTTTGTTTTCACAAATTAAACAGGTTCCCTACTCCCTTTTTGTTCACCTGCCTTTCCTGGACATGTTTTATCCTTGGCGAGAACAGTTTCATACAAGGAGATTGTACTGCAGTATTCCTTCCAAGTGCCCCTTTTTCACATATGAGTCTGGGTGATGGATGCTAGCAAATTATTCAACTATGCCAGCATTACAGCTGGTGCCCGATGCCTCACTAGGCATTACTGTGTAGCAGTTAGGAACCTGGAAATAAGTACATTCTCCCTTTCCTATGCCAAGGCTGATGCCAATTTTGGAGCAACCTGTTAGAGATCAGCTCACTCAATACAAACTGAGCACCAAGCCCAAAGTGTACCCCTAGCAATGTAGTATCAGATCGTGCAATTATCACCAGCTGAAAATGAACAATTTTTCTTGGAAAACAAGCCCTGAGTTTAAATAAGCCATTTTCAAATCCCTTGTTTTCTTTTCTGCTTTATTCTTTGTTTTTTTCTGTTGGATTTCTTTCATCAGAAACAGGAACTTGTACACCCTAAAGAAGCCAGTGAATTTGCTCAGCCTGGGTCCGTGGTTTTGAGGAATGACCAGATTGTTCAGTCTTTTCATGTGTTATTGCTTCTTCCAGGAGATTGCATGGGGTGAAATGAATTAAGAGGGTCAAGGGCTGCTCAGTTTGAGTGTGGGGTTGTGTGGTGTGTGGTGCATAGACAAAGGGGTAGTATGCACACTAGGCTTCACAGTGCGCAGCAGGCTTGATAGATTCATTAACCTATCACTTTTTATGTGTTTGTATATCATTTTCACACATATATTCACTTCTTTTATTCCTTTCTTTACCAAAATCCTTACAACCAGAGGCAGAGAGAATAAATAGCCTGAGCTATTTACAAGATCAGGTGCCAGAGCTGAAGATCAGGGTCTCACAAATACATAAACTAGTTCTCTATGCAACACTTCCCATAGAATGAAAGAGAAAAAAAATTAATTAGCATCTTGTCACATATTACAGTACAGTTTAACCTCGTTCATACAAAATGATTATTACACAAAATTTCAAATGATCCAGTTATTCCATTTAAGTAAAACACATACAGTACTCAAAAAAATTGAACCAACAGATAATGTGGGAGTTGAGCAACTTTTAATAAAAATGTATGATTTGTATCTGAAATGCTTCAGACACAATCAGTTAATCTTTGGAGTGCACTGGTTTGTCATGTGGATAATGCAACAATCAGTCTGCGTCATAAACATACTACAATGAGATTTTGGTGATATTAATTCAATGAGGAATGTTGTTCCAGATATCAAGGGGATCTATCCACTGCTTATTGGCAAGCGATCTTAAATGCTTATTTGGATAGGAAGAGCATCTTCCAAGGAACAGCACCTCGTTCTCCTCAGTACTTTCATGAAATATCAGGCTATATTATGTACACAGATCTCAATTCAACCTATTGACAACTGAGATTAGTTTTAATAAAAAATACAGAAAGAACTGTGTATGCTGGAAATTGGAAACAAAAACAGAAATGGTTGGAAAATACCAGCAGGTCTGGCAGCATCTGTGGAAAGAGAAATCAGAGTTAACATTTCGGGTCTAGTGTCCCTTCTTCAGAAGCTACTGAGGAAGGGTCACTCGACCCGAAACATTAACTCTGATTTCTCTCCACAGATGCTGCCTGGCCTGCTGAGATTTTCCAGCAATTTCTAGATGTATTTACCTTGTTTCTGCTGCCTTCCACATACCAGATGGAATCGTTTTTCTATTTTACTTGATTTATTGTTGTCATACCTACTGAGATACAGTGGAAAATGTTGTTTTGCGTGCTATACAGGCAATAATATCATTCAAAGTGCATCAGGGTAGCAGAACAGAGCAGAGTACAGTATTACAGCCACAGAGAAAGTGCAGAGAGAGAGTGAGATCATCATTAACATTTGATAGGTCCATTCAAAGGTCTGATAACAGTGGGAAAGAAGTTGTTCTTGAATCTGTTGGTACATGTATTCAAACTTTTATATCTTCTCCCCAACCAAAGAGGCTGGTAGAGAGTATAACCAAGGTAGGAGGGGTCTTTGATTATATTGGTTGCTTTCCCAAGGCAGCAGGAAGTGTAGATGGAGTCAATGGATGGAAGGCTGGGTTGCGTGATGGACTGGACTGTGTTCATGGCTCTCTGTGAGTTTCTTGCTGTCTTGGGGAGACCACTTGCCATACCACGCTATGATGCATCCGGATAGGATGCTTTCTATGGTGCATCTATAAAAATTGACGAGAGTCTTTGTGGACATGCGGAACCACAAAGAGGTTTAAGGAGGAAGAGGCACTGTCCTTTGCTAGCTGGGTTGAGAGCTTGAGGGAGAGAGAGGCCCACACTGCCTCTTCCTGGGGCCACCTGTTGACTTACACGCCAGTCAAGTGCTGGTGAGATCACTGACAGACTCTGCTCCTGAGAGCCCCTGGGGTGGAATTCCCAGCCAGAGAGACCTGTCAGTCAGTTAGAGGCCAGCAGCTCTTTCAATCAGCAGCACCGCAGGAGACCCTGTGGCTGCTCCCAGAAGAGCACTCCCTGGAATCTCAGGTTCCAGGAATAAAGAATGGGGAGGTGGTTATCAGGTTGGGAGGTCAGGGAAGAAAGACGGTAAAGAAGGGTGGGAATCCAAGGCACTAGTTCTCAGAGGGATCGCCCAGGAAGAAAAATCAGGAAAACTGCATAATCGGTGAAATTCACTCTGTATCCCTCAGAATGGAGTTTCAATATCACCACTATATTCAATTTCAAGCAGTAGAGGTTTTGTCTTACTGGTTTGTCCCTCTGGGAACTATGTTCAATCCCTTGATAAGACACTGTGTGCCTTTGATCAAGAAACTCAGATATTTCACTCCCCATCCCCACAGCTAACAAACTGCACACTCTGGTTGACCTGCTGGATATGCACAAGTCAAGTTGCAAGTGGGCTAAACACAGTGACAGTGAGCTGAGGCACCTAAGAGGTCCTTCATTGGCTACTCGAGGGCTTCAGCTGAGGGCCGAGCCAACAGATCGATCGTGGTCTTCCTGCCCAGAACGTAAATTCCAGTAGAGGCCAGAGATTGTGGGACCTGGATACCACGGCACCTGATAGTGTGCCCTTCCTGCTTCCAAACTTGCCAGCTCTGGGAACAGACGATTTTGCTAGGGGCCTCACCAATGCTTGGTTGGCACAGGGCAGCCTTCCCTGAAAGGGGTAGAACAAGTTTCTTACCAACTTTCCAGCTGCAGACAAGACCTCGCCACCATAACAAGATTCTGCACTATTCTGTTTCTCATAGCCTGATACCTGAATAAAGAGAGAGAACCAAGTGACAAAACAGGTATTGAAATTAGTCTTCAGTTTCTCTACCCAACTTGATGCTGACATCTGGGACCTAAATCAGATAGATCTTCTGTTTCCAAGCATAAAGGTTTCTTGTACAGAGCACAAGAGAAAGGAACTAACAGACTAAGAAAAAAAATCTGTTAGATTGATGAAGGAAAAACCAGTAAAATTTGTGGATGATGCATACTTGTCTGACTCGTCTGGAATACTTCAAAATGGAGTTCTAGTACAACAGGACATTCATTTCCAACTTTACTGGTTTTCCCTCTGGGCAGCACGGTGGCTCAGTGGTTAGCACTGCAGCCTCACAGCACCAGGGACCCGGGTTCAATCCCATCCTCGGGCGACTGTCTGTGTGGAGTTTGCACATTTTCCCTGTGTCTGCGTGGGTTTCCTCCAAGTGCTCCAGGTTCCCCTCACAGTCCAAAGATGTGCAGGCTAGGTGGATCGGCCATGCTAAATTGCTCACAGTGTTCAGGGAGGTGTGGGTTATAGGGGGATGGGTCTGGGTGGGATACTTTGACGTTCGGTGTGGACTTGTTGGGCCGAAGGGCCTCTTTCCACACTGTAGGGATTCTATGAAAGTGCAACTAATGGCCTTAGCACAGTGCAGTGAGGAAGTGGCTAATGCTTTGATGATTTTCTGACTCTTGCTGTTACTGAAAAGGAGCAAGCAGAGATCAGGCCTAATTTAGCAATGTGAAATGGACAGGTGGCCCTTTGTTCCAACTTTGTGCAATCAGCCAATTGCCAAGTTGTATCGACAACTCAGAACAGAATCTGGAATCTAATGGAGACCTGAACAATATGAACTACGACAGAAAACATGGCAGAATTGCACAAGAAGTCCAGCAAGGTCCATCTTGACATCAGGAGCATCTCACTGCATCTTTTATGGAGGTCCTGGGTATGAGGGAGATTCTGAAACAAAAACAGAAATCACTGGAGAAACTCAGCAAGTCAGGCAGCTCTAAAGAAGGATCACTGAACTCGAAACATTAACTCTGCTTTCTCTCCACAGATGCTGACAGACCTGCTGGGTTTCTCCAGCACTTTCTGTTTTTGCCTCAGATCCTCAGCAGTTGT